CAGCAATCCCACCACTATCACACACATTTCTGGCTTCATCGCCTGAAAGCTGATGGACCTCTGGATCACCAAAAGGCTGGGATTTTTCAGCAAAAACACCTCGATCCTTTGCCTGTAGTACTTGGTTCTGTACGTTTGCACCCAAAGTAAGAAGGTATAAAATCGAAAAAACAAAATTGCGAGTATGGAAAAAGAACTTCTAACAGCATGCTGCTCTTGTAAGGGTAAAGAAAAGGCTCAACTTCCACATAATGCAGAACACAAAGATCCAGTAGTTACAAACATTACTATTAAATATTACTTAAATATGAGTTCTGGACTCTGATAATTTGGTCCTTCATCTAAATGCATGATAGATTGGAAACCAATTATCTACAAGCAACGATTATTGTTTTGGCTGATGGTAAACCAGTTTTATCCTATTAATAATGATACTAATTATCTCTTTTCCTACGTGCCTTTTAACTTTTTTTTCTGCCTGCATACAATGTTGCTCTTATGCCTTTTGATTTATCATATGGTCATTTATATACTCATCGACCATAAGACCTCTTCAGTAACTTAATTGTAATTTCTTATTGGCACAAGATTCTCAAAATAGGCTTCAAAATAATCTAAAAAAATATATTATAAAAACCACCTATTGTTTTCTTTTGAACTTTCTTAATTTCAATTATTCATTAGTTATTTTCATTTTTAATGAATCTCGACTCTTTAATATTTACCATATTAAGGCCAATATGCATCCATAACTTGCAAATATGTTATCTACTTTTCAAGACTTCGACGTGATTGGTAAGCACAGCGAAGAACTGTGTGACTTAGGGAGGGCAACAGATGTGCGAATTGGCTAGCTCTAATCACGCCTTTTGTTTTGGACAGGGGAATTTGTCTCTGCTTTTTACATTTTTTTAGTGCTGACCTCCAGATCACTGGGTGTACCCGTCTTTTGAGTTAATATAGCTCTATTTTTGTGTTTTGTTTTTTTTAAACTAGCATATACAATCAAAATCAGAATAGCTAAATAGTATTTTTCTTGCAAAAGCATGTACATAAAGAAGATAAAAAGGAGAAGGAGAAAGAACCTTACATCAGGAGAGGAAACCCTATCAGCATCATCTTGCCTGGTTCCTGTGGAACGTTTGAAACTCAAAGGAATCACTTAATTGAAAAGGCTTAACAAATATAATTTAAAGACAGGCCTTTGAATGTACAAGGCTGAGAATTAAAATTTCCATTTATGTTACAAACTAATCAAATCCAAAATGCACAGAATCCACGATATAATTTTTCCAATTAACATTGTTTCAGAAGACAAGGAAGGAATCACCAGATGTTGAAGAAATCAAATTTGCAAACAAAAAGAAATTAATTAAAAAAGAGAGAGAAGCCCAGGTAAAGAAAGTTGCTCCAGATATAAATTTATCCAAGTTTTCTTATGTCCCTATCATGTTCTGTAAATGTTCAGGAATCCAAAAATACAGATAAAAAAGGTTGATATCCCATAGTTCATAATTCTACAAATTGAGTGGAATACCTAATACAATTACTAAATGATACCTCACGGCAACCGTGGCTTATAACAAGCACCAAACGAACCTATAAGAATATTGTCGTTTGTGTCATCGTGAAAACAGCTAAGGCATTTAATAATACAACAAGGTCAAACCCCTAAATCGTGGACAAGCTTGCCGGCAGAATCTTCTCTTTTACTTGGTAGCTTTGCATAAACGCCTAATGCATAAAGCAAAAAAGAGCGAGGATAATATAGGGCCCTAAAACCCTAGATCGCAAGAAGAGAATGTGGAACGCCAAGGCATCGCGCAGAGACATGCAGCGCAACCAAGAAGCCTAAAAAAAAGAATTAACGGAGGAAGGAAGAGAGGAATCACACCGAGGAAGGATTCGGAGAGCGGGGGGTAGTCTTGATTGGAGGCGGCGGACGGGGAGGGGGAGAAGAGGGAAGGGATTATCGTAGAAGCAGGCCGAACGAGGATCTTGGAGACCCAGCCGTCCCCCTCCCGCCGCTCCTTCCCCCCAGCAGCCGGCGGGCGATCGTACGGCGTTGGCGGCGCCCTCAGCCGGAACGGTCGCCGAGTCATCTTCCCTCCCGCGCCGGCTCGCGCCTCCTCCTTCTTCTGCTCCTCATCTTCTTCTTCTTCTCTCCTCTCCATCGCGCCCGCGATCGAGCCCTACGACGCCCTCTCTGTCCACGCGACCCCTCCTAATATCCGCCGCGGCGATCGATTGAGCCGGTTGGCTTGCGATCCACCGACGGCGCGATGGAAACAAGCCCTTCGCTTCCGTTCGTCGCTCCGTCGTCTCTTGGCTGCTCTCGGCTTTCCTCCAGTGGCACCGAAGCGGAGCTGGTCCCTCGTGGCCGACTCGTCGTTTCAAGCTGAGTCGAACCGGATCGAACTCGCGGCCGAACCCAAACTCGCCTCGCGTTACGAACAATTTCCCAAAAAAAAAAAAAAAAGGAAAACTCAGATTAATGCCTGCCGACATCAATATAAAATTTAAAATTATATTGATGTCAATTTCGATCAGTCCAATGGGTCGAGTCTAACTCGGCCGTGATCGATCCACGTCATTTTCACGGGTCGACTCATCACAGCCCAGAAATATACGGGCTGCGATAGACTGGGCCTATGGAATTCTGAGGCCATTAGGCCATCTCGGTAGGAGACATGCATGTCTTCTCCCCCCCCGACTGATTCAAATCGATAGCTTCGTAAAGACACCTTTTGCACGGCTGTCAGCATCAAAAGTGACGTGAGGATTGGGGCAGCCGTTTTGGCCATCAATAGGAAAGGTTTGGGTGGGACGACGTCCAAAGAGTAGACCATCGATCGATTTGATCCAGTGGATTGCTATGACTCCATTAAATACGCGGCATCGTACGACCTACTTCGAGTGGCACGTTGATAGCTTCGTGGTGGGGGCGATCACAATGGTGGAATTTTGTGATGATGCTTTTGGTGATCGATGGCTAGGATTTGTTTACGATTGCTTGATTGATGGCTGGAATCAACATAAGATAGTTATCTTTTTGGGATCATTTGATGGGATTGTGTTGACTTGTTGTCTCCGTGCCGAAGGAATTTTATTTGCTTTCCCAACGTTTTGCTTGGATTAGTGGTAAAGCGCATCACATAGAGATTTGATCGAGTAGAATGTACCATTGGAAGGCAAGACAAGTGGCAATGTAGCTTATTTGAATGGGCCATGAAACCTCAACTACTGCAAAGAAAGCTATTTTGATCTCCACGACGTTCCAACCAAAGGCATAAACAAATCAATCACTATTAATGCCAACGTGACTGTTCTCTCAGCAGTCACCGATGCACCGATCAGCTAATAATTATATATATAAATATATATATTAGTTACTCTTATATTTTATGTTACTGTAGAATATCTATTAGAGTTTACCAAATTAATTTCCCAATTGATTAAACTAAGACTACGTGCATTAATCATTCTTTGGTTTCGTTTCGTTTTGGTGAAAATATTTATATATGGATCTGCTGTTTTCTATTTTTGTATTTATTTTCTATTTTATGATTTATATATACTCGTATATATGCTATATTTATCGTAATAAAAAAATATAAACTTATATTGATATGGGTGGTTAATTGATGTAATCTTACATTTACATCCAAAAATATTATTATTGGGATATGAATGTCGCAAAAACATTTAGTAAAAAATATCTTATAACTATAACTCATCAAATTTAATTCAAGATATAGTGAGTTAATAAAAAATATTATGTTTATTTAATAGATATGTATATTTTTTAATATATTATTAGAAAAAATCATCGTTAACGTATGAGTCAATTCAATATGGTCCGAATCCAAAAGTATAGAAATATCTAAGGTGATGATTGAGGTGATTTTGAGAAAAAAAATGTCGAGCATTCAATGTACTACCTATATTAAGATTGATATTGAGAAAAGTTTCGTATTGATGCTCAAATTAATGAACGAGATCTTTTCGTACGTATAAATTTTTTTTGAAAGACCATCATCCTTACGTAACGTTAGAGATTAGTTTTTATACAGAAAGAGGACAATCTATAACCATCATAATATATTTCTTTTTGATATTTTATCACGAGGAGAGATAGTTTCGAACCGTCTATCTTAGACTTTTATCCAAGCAGACAAATAGATAGATGGTACGATGATTATATATTAGATAACGATTTATTATCAATATATTTATTATCATATATAATTTTTATGAAACATATCCCTTTTGTAATAGTATAATAATCGATTCAAATATCTCACGACAAGTAATCGATGTTTATTTTTAATATTATTATGATACGGCGAGAAGAGTGACCGCTAATGTTTTTTTACGACCTACCGGCGAAGCCATGCATGCTTTATTAAATGTAATGGTGGCAGCTGCATCGGTAGCTACGTCGTGTTGAATTCTGTGATAAATGATGAGTATAATAATGTATTCTATATCTTCAGAAACCTGTATTTATTGTTCAACAAAGTGTCGAGCATAAGTTCTTTAACCAAATTTTCCTAACATGCCAACATATAAGGAAGATTTTCTATGTTTTGGTACAATTTTTTTATATTTTGATTTAGTAGAGACATAAAAATCGAAGTATAATAGACTTTCTTTTCATTTTGGTGGATTTTACTTCCTCATGTGAATGAAAATAGCCAAGTCCAGAGATAAAATGATTGGCTTAGGTGAGGATGTGTTGAACATTTAATCGAGTGAACTAAACAAAAGCAAAGTATTGGGAGCAAGTTGAAGTAAGTAGGAAAAAAAGGACATAGACAAGATATAAAATGGTATAGAGAGATGTATCCACATTGATTGCTTTTGATTTGGTCGAGCCAATTACCTGTTGGGTGAGCATATACTACTATTGATCGAAAAGTAAGTAAATAGTAAACAATATAGCACTAATCTCATCAATCAAAATCACTATTTTTCTTTCGTTGATGTATGATAAATTATTCTCAAATGTGTCATCTTTTTCTGTTTCGTAAGAAAATATCCAATCGCATGTAATGATAGTGAGAAGAAATTGATTTAAATTGGAATCAATCATCCTATACGATCTTCTCATCCATGTTTTTACTTTATTTAACAACTAACAAACTAAGCATTTTTGAAAAATTATATTTTTATAAAATTTTTAAATATAATTTTTTTTTATAAATATCTAAATAGAAGGAGTAAAAAAAATTTATGAAATAAAATTTTAGAAGGAGAAAAAAATATTGACCACATTCAACCACTAATGACATTTTTATCTCAATTATCTTGTGTAACTTATATATATATATATATATATATATATATATATATATATATGAAAGACGTGAGTGGGCCCCGGAGGAGCTAGTACACTCGGTTTCGTTGGGAGGACGAAGATGTGGGGTAGGCTTTCGGGGAGGGGGGCACGTGTGCCCATGTGATTACCCATTTTGACACATCGGTGGGTCCCATTGTTCTCTCCACCTTCACACACGCGGGTTCGTCAGCGTGAGGTAACATAAGAACCCACCCGTCATGCTGTCGCTACTTCGTCAATCTGTTGATCCGGGTGGGCCCCAAGAGAGCTAGTTGGTAGCCTGCTCTCGAATAAGCATCGGTCGTTTTTTTATGAGGCACCGAAGGGGAGCGTTCACGTGGACCCGTACAGTTGTCCAATTTAATGCAAGTTGTGGTGGTGCTGGTGCCGAGGAGGATCCACGTGGCGGCGACGACGATGCGGACGTGGTGGGTGGGGGTTGTGAGTAACCGTGTGTGCGGTGTGTGAAGGGAAGCCGGGCGAGGAAGACCGGACTGCTGGTTGGTGAGGGAGAAGAGCCCGAGCTTGGACTCTTCCTCACGTCCGTCTGTGTCCGCAATGAATGCGTAGCAGAAGGGTGCTATGCTTTGCTAACGTCGTCGGGATTCATCTTCTTCCCCTGTCCCCCTCCGAACACTGCAACCACATCCGTCCCCGCACCTTCTTGAATCCCCCAAACCATCGCCAAGATCGACACCGTCCTCCTCGTCTTCTTCTCTCTCAGTTTCTGCCTCTCTTGTACTTACAAGAGAACTCCCCTGAGAATTCTGAGGTAAAATGGATGGATTTCGGCTTTCTTATGGTCCTTCTCTTGCCTTGCTATGACTGATCTGTTTCTTAGTGCCTTTGTCTTCGAGAATTATGCAGGCCTGGCGTTTCGATCTGCTTAAAGAAGAATTCCCCTTTGTTAGCTTGGTCTCTCCATCTTGGTCCTGACAAGGTGTAGAGGTTTCGCCTTTTAGGTGTTTCATTGGGTTTTGCCGCTGACCTCGATTCCCTTTCGACTCTGGATAGCGAGGATGAAGGCGCTTGTACTTCCCCTGATCGCGCCCTTCTTCTTTTTCCTGAGTCCGTGCGTCGGCAGCATCCAGACGACCCAGCTCAGCCCCGGATTCCGGGGCTCCGAAATGGAGTGGATCGACAACAATGGGCTCTTCCTCTTGTCCAACAGCTCCGGCTTCGCTTTCGGCTTCACCACCTACAACAGTAGCGACACCACGTCCTTCCTGGTCTCGGTGATCCACCAGGGGAGCGGCACCATCGTCTGGACCGCCAACCGGGACGCGCCGGTGTCCCACTCTGACGAGTTCGTGTTCGACAAGGACGGCAGCGCCTACCTCAAGTCCGGTGGCGATGTGATATGGTCAACGAACACCTCTGGCCAGGGAGCGACGCGGATGGAGCTGCTGGACTCGGGCAACTTGGTACTCCTCGGCGGCGGCGACGGTAGCAGCAGCGCGTCGCCCCTTTGGCAGAGCTTCGATCATCCGACGGACACCCTCCTTTCTGGCCAGAGCTTCACCAAGGGAATGTTGCTGGTGAGCGACCCCAGTGACAGTGGCTTGAGGTATCATCTCCGAATCGACTCGGAGGATGCGAAGCTCTTCGCGGAATTCGCGTCACCCCAGCTCTACTGGTCCATGCAGCGTGACGCTAGGAAGATCGATAACCAGGTCGGCGGGGACATACGCTCCGCGGTGCTCGAATCCAACTCATGGAACTTCTATGATCAGAATCAATCTAGAATTTGGCAATTCATCGTGGATTCAGCTGAGACCAGTGAGAATGTCACGCGAATGGCTGTTTTAGACACCTCTGGCTCCATCACATTCTCGATCCTCCCCAGCAGCGGCCAAGGAAACCCTTCGTCGATCAAGATCCCGGAAGACTCGTGTGATACACCTGAGGCCTGCCATCCATACTTCATATGTTACCCGGGCATCCGCTGTCAGTGCCCAAGCGTTCTCAGCCTGGACTCGAACTGTAATCCCGGTAATGTTTCTTCTTGTGACCCGAGCACTTCATTCAAGCTTGCCAAAGTTGATGATGGAGTTGGGTATTTCGCCACTAGTTTTGTCTCACCCAGTGCAAAGTCAAACGTGACAGGGTGCAAAGATGCATGCCTGGATAACTGCTCGTGTGCTGCCTTATTCTATGATGAGAAATCCGGCAGTTGTTTTCTTTTTGATCAGATTGGGAGCTTCAAGCAGATACAGAGCAACACAGCCAGTTACACTTATATCAAAGTGACCAGCAATGCAGATGGTGGCAAAGGATCAAATGGACAAGGAAGCAGTGGCAGCAAGACCTTGATGATTGTCCTAATCATCTCGTTCATGACTGTTGCAGTGATAGCAGCTCTCGTCTATCTTGCTTGCAGGATTCATCGGAGGAAGAAAATACCAGAACCATCACAGGGGTCCTCAGAAGAAGATAATTTCTTGGAGGGACTATCTGGGATGCCGGTCAGGTTCAGCTACAGAGAGCTTCAAATGGCTACAGATGACTTCTCTGTCAAGCTCGGCGAAGGAGGGTTTGGCTCCGTCTATCTAGGAAAGCTTCCTGATGGCACAAGAATCGCAGTGAAGAAATTGGAAAGCATTGGCCAGGGGAAGAAAGAGTTCCGCTCTGAGGTGAGCATAATAGGCAGCATCCACCACATTCATTTGGTCAAACTTCGGGGTTTCTGTGCAGAAGGCGCACACAGGCTTCTGGCATATGAATATATGGCAAAAGGATCTTTAGATAGATGGATATTTAAAAAGAATCAAAGAGATTTTTCACTGGATTGGGATAAGAGGTATAATATAGCTTTGGGCACGGCAAAGGGGTTAGCGTATCTCCATGAAGACTGTGAATCAAAGATAGTTCATTGTGATATTAAGCCTGAAAATGTGCTTCTAGATGACAATTACCACGCAAAGGTATCAGATTTTGGACTAGCAAAGCTTATGACAAGAGAACAAAGTCATGTATTCACAACATTGAGAGGCACGAGGGGATACCTTGCACCAGAATGGATTACAAACTATGCCATATCGGAGAAAAGTGATGTGTACAGTTATGGTATGGTCTTGCTTGAGATAATTGGTGGCAGGAAGAACTTTGATCCTGCAGAGACTTCTGAGAAATCCCACTTTCCTTCATATGCTTTCAAAAAGATGGAGGAAGGCAAGTTAAAGGAAATTTTTGATGCCAACTTGATATATAATGACATGGATGGGAGAATGGAGACTGCAATTAAAGTTGCCTTGTGGTGCATTCAGGAGGACTTGTATTTAAGACCATCAATGACTAAAGTAGTCCAAATGCTAGAAGGACTACAAGATGTCCCTCAACCTCCGACATCATCGCAGCTGGGCTTCCGGCTTTATGCTAATGCGTTCAAGGCTATTAGTGAAGAGGGAACATGTTCAGGTTCAGGGCCATCAGACTGCAACAGCGATGCATTTCTATCTGCTGTTCGCCTATCTGGGCCTAGGTAAATGAGGGCGCCATTTCTTCGAGATTTTTATAATCAGAGAACTTCTTCTTCTCTTTCTATGGTTGTGCTTGCCATTTTCATTATTAACTTCCTACCTTGTATACACCTGCAAGCAATAGTTGGAGATAGAGTTCTTTTCAGGTCTGAGTGGTAGTATAATTCTGTTTAAAGAATAGGTTTTTTATAATATATGCATCAGCTACAACGACTTGTTTTGAATGGACTGCATTGCGGCCTCCTCTCACTTTGCATCGCGATCATTTTGTTGTATTTATCTGTTGCCTCTACCTCTTCCTTTTCTGCAAGTATTTGTAAAGGAAAACTAACACAATTTGCCAGGGCTTCTTGTTTAAGTAGATAGACAGGAAATCGTATTATTGATAACAAGATGTGGTTGTTTTACATGGTTGAATTTTTTTTTTTCATTGTAGGAAAGCATGATATATTTGTCCCACGTTACATTCAATTTGTGCTCCTAGAGTCACAAAATTGTCAAAATAAAAAGTTGGGCTTCTTAAGGACATATATTACAACACACAACCTGCTCTTGTCTGCTAGAAGTAACATGAGGAGATTCCTATGTGATGTGTTTTATCTGAGTCAGCAATTAAATCATCCTTTGAACTGGAACCATTCTGACAATTTAGCTATAGATATTTCCCTGTGTTCATTTTAGTTTAGGATAATGTTTATGAGGTTATTAATACATGTAGATGTTATTTAAAGAACTAATAACAAGAAAAGTGTTCTGAATTTTTCTCTGAGAGTTTCTGAAACTGTCTTCATTCAGTGACTAATCTTTGGCAATTTTATGGGAAAAACACTGTTGCAAGATGTCTTATCCAAAATAATAAATCATGATTAAAATGCTGGAGGCTTAGTTTAAACATCGTCATTGTTTTCTTCTTTAATTCATATGCTCAATTTTCTTCCATGAAATGCTTCATCATCAATATCTCCAAGATATTCATAAAATTGCAGATAGCAAGGGTAGTCCACTTTGAGTGCAGCCTGCCTTCCACTCACAAAGCAGCTGTTTCTGGTCCGTGAACCTGCTCCATTGTGCCTAGGTAGGTACTGCCTCTAATATATAAATTGCTGCTGTACAAAATTAATTATGATTCATCTGTCCAAACAATATTCTTATATGTGAAGAAGCTAAGGTGGAACCTTGCATTGTTTGTATTCTCCATTTTCTTTTCATCTCTTTTAAGTGTGAGCTGAAAAACCAACAGAACCAGTATGCCACTGGTGGTTATGTTCTTTGTTTCCAGAGTAGATGTATGTTTCAAAAGTTGTGGGGATTATTGAAATAGGATCTCTTTTACTTCTTAAATATTTAGAACCAGAAATCATCATTCACATCATCAAAACATTCATTCTTACAGAAAATTCACTAAAAATATTTAGAAACAGATCATAATACATCATTGGTTAGTTATCTGCAACACAATACCAGTCTCTGGAATGCTTCAACTGCACTTACTTCAGTGGTGTCATGAGAAGGTATCTAAGATTTGTTGATAGCTTCTCGCAAACAGTAACACTGATTCATTTGAAACTGGGAAGTTTATTTTCTGTAGTATTGCAGGACTGGGATCCTTTCCGAGTATTATGTAGCAGATATTTTGCTCAAGCCGAGAGTTGATATTTATTTTGAAGAGCTTTTGATGGTGAGTCCTCTGTTGTATGTCGTAGTGGAGAGAAAAAGACATGCAACGGAACAGGGATTTCTTGGCGATTTAGATTTGAGCCTTTAAATTGCTGGGGATATCTGTTTCTATGGAAGCGCGAGACACTGCAGAGAGCCCGACATCGGTCGCCGCGGCTGCAGGTTCCGAGGGCAATGGGAGCAAGCCTAACGTCCGTAGCTTCCTCAGCGTCAAGCGCTCGGTAAGGTGCCCGTTGTCCTCACTTTTCCCGCTCGTTGGTAGTCACATCCTTGTTCAGGTCTGGCTAGGGTTTCTTCAAGCATTCACCACCGGGCTTCTCCCGAGCAGCGAGCTCGGCAGAGCGGATGCTTCTCTGAAGAACAAGCCAGCGTTTGGAGATGCAGGCGGAGTTGCAACACGTGTCGATCCCAATTTGAGACGAGTATATTAAACTCACAGTCACGTGGGCCCAACTTAACCGGGCCGGAAATAGATATGATGGTTTGGGCTTTCAGATCACGGCGTGACGGGGGGTGGAAGCAGACTCTCTCTCTCTCCTCTGCATTCCATGCTTGGCATTACATTCCATGATTCGTATCTATCATCTGGCTGTTGCTCGGTCGTATATGCAGCTGCTTGTTATTCTCCTGATATCTGTAGACACCAAGATACATGCCAAGAAGAAACTTTCTTGATTGTCGCTAGCATCCTGTTGGCTTTAAGGGAACCTGTTTGAAGAATTTACTCGGAAGCGGGGATGGATTCTGTGCTGGGTAAGGCTTTTGGAACGCAATTTGAGACTCTCGCAAGGGATTTCTCTGTTGCCTTTTGTCTTCTTCATTACTAATTAGTATTGGTAATCCGTGATATCCGCTCTTTTTGGTGTTACGTTGTATGCATATCCACTGCTTCCATGACTGGCATGCGCTAAATGTGTTTGTTGTTTTGTCTATGAGATGAACATTTTATATATCTTGGCTATTGTTCGATACGCACAAATATTGGGGAGTACTTGGAAATTTGACACCATGCATGAATGCATAATCTAAAGACTTGATCCCTCGTGTTTGTATGTTGTAGATATATATGAGATGCACATCTATCTGTATGCAATGGGAGGCCCTGGTTGTGTGGAATCGTAGGTGAACACTAACACCCTACCTCGATTAGCTGATAAAGACTATGGAATCTTTTTCTTGTGCTCAGGATTGGAAAGGAATCAGGCACATTGACCTGAAGATATCCAATTAAGAAGTGATTGCATAGGATTGAGATCCATTTCCGATAGTTGGGAGGACACATCTGAGCTGTAATTAGTTAAGAATTTCTCCCTACTTGGCATTTGATTCTAAACCTAAGTTCCATAGAATCAATTTACATGTAGGTTCATAATGATTAAGGGGCAATCCATAAAGGAAGATAGAAGTGAGAAACTCAGCATTGATGCATGTCGGCCAGCACTAATTGCATTTTTTTTTCCATATTTTTGGCATGGAAGGGGTTTCATGCCATCAGCTTTTCTACACTGTGATGTTAGTTGTCTAGATTTCCCTATCACTAATGCTATTGCTTCACAACTGGTGCATGTCTGGTTTTGTTTAATCCATATGATCATCATCCTTTGAAAGATATCGACATTTTTGTTGTCTGGTTCAATCAACTAGCTGGTCAAATTGGTTCTTGATCCACCTGCCACCCTTGATCCATACACTTTGCTTGCTTTATCTATATTAGAAACAAGGATCACCATTAAGATCTCATTCCTCTCGGTAGGATTTTAGCTCAAAACTAGAAACTGTAAATTATTTGTAGCTATTTTTTTATTCATTCAGTTCATTACATGTAGAGAGGTGTTTTGAAGGTGGTCTTGGAATCCTTATGTTATATGTTGGCATCACTGGTGGACATTGCTTTGGCATCTTTCTTCACTTGTTTCTGATCAAATTTACCATTGACTTAGGTTGTCTATGATGCACAAGTGGAACATTTCCACTTGTTTCTGATTCCCGGAAGACGAAAACTACAATTGCTTGAAGACCTGGCTGCCATTGACTGGAACTGATACAACTCAGCGTGTCAGGATCTTCCTGGAACTTTCTATGATGTTGATGCGCCAATTTGCAGATTGGAATGCATAGCCTTTGGACATTTGTACAACAGATGTTTCAGCATCTCCACAACCACGAATTCTCTAGTTCCAGAGAGTTCTTCTGGTTATCTAGACAGATGTGTTGATGCAATGGGATGATTCATCATAAATTTCATCTGTTTTGTCACCAAGAACGCATGCTGTCCTTGTCCTCATCGATTTCTTCACCTTGGGGCTTGCTCATTTAGGTGGTGAGAAAGGAAGAAAAGAACTTGTTGTCATTATCCATCAAGGTTCTCAATGATCCGTCGCTCAGGGATTATTCTTATCCTCCAGTAGTGCAAGCTATGACCTTCAAGATGTAGCTCTACCGTACTTTTATCCTGGGGAAGAAATGATGAAGCTTTGTTCCAAATATCTTTCCTTGGTAAAGTCAATGTAGCAGTCACTCACCACACCAGGTATGCAAACAAAACTCCACACTTGCTATTTCTGCATCTAACAAGTGTGTACTTGATGTGTCCGTGCATGGAACAGTGATTCATGTTGATAAGATTTATTTTGGCATTGGCCTCGCCAGGAACTAACTGCATACACAAGAGACCTCTGCTCATCTGTCGTTTGTGCCGACTGCAATCGGTAACAATGCAGTCCAAGGTGGGGCCTGCCTGCTTTGTCTGATTTGATTTAATTAGTCCCCTCTGTGTAGCCTAATCCGATCTCTCTTCTGCAGCTTGGAGACGCCACAAGTGTTGGCAGAATGCATCGATCATCTCGTCTCCAACTTAACTGGGATCTTCGACTCCACTGGATCTGCAACCATTTTGGTATGTTGGTACATGCATTCTTGTTTCTTCTGTGAGCCCTATCTCGTATTGCTACGCATGAGATATTGATGGACCACAGAGTTGGATTTGGATCGGTGACATACTATGTCGTTTTAATTCATCGGAAACATGATATGTCGTGCTGTGATTGGCTTGCTTCATCTTGTGGCTGACAGAGGCACACAGGTAGAGCTCACATGCGGGCGGTGGGGCTGATGGATCCGCTTGGCCTCCGTTGTTTTGTCCGGACGTGCCAACCGCCCGCAGGAGCAGATGGGCTGCTGATTCCTGCCGATTCGATGCAGGTGAAGCCACTCGTTCAATTTAGAAGATGGAGACCGGTGACCGAGTGAAGAAGAACCCATGTTAGAAGATGATCATGATGATGATGCCAGGTTATGAGATGGTGGTCGTCAGTGTCGGGCAGGAAGAGCTCGGTCGACCTCCTCTTTTAACCCCCTCTCCTCGGGGATTGTGATCCAAGTATGGGTTGCATTGCATGAATCTTCAGGATCGCGCATCTTCAAGAGGTGCCAGGGGTGAGCAAATTGGAGTCGTGCAAAAGCATGAAGGGCAGTGCTCAGAGGACCAAGAAAGAAATGGGAAATGATAGCTTCTGACGTTGGGGATAGGATCAACTCATGCATGGGGGAGTTTTTGATGGCAACGATGAACAGTATAAATTATCCGCAGCACGCCAACTACAGACAGCATGAGCAATCCAGTTCAATTTCTTCTTCCTCACGAGAAGCTTGATGGCTAATTACAAGGTGAGAGAGAGAGAGAGAGAGAGAGAGAGAGAGAGAGAGAGAGAGTTTGACCGTGGAAGGGGTTACAGACGCGATCGAGGGATCAGTAACAGCAGGCCATCCGCTGCATGAGCCGATCTTGGAGCATGCCGTTGTACAGGGCCACCCTGTTCGCCGGCATCCCTGGCGGCGCCCGCGGCCGCTCCTCCTCCGCCGCCTCTTGCTCCTGGTTTTCTTCTTCCGCCGCCGGGGGCTCACTGCAGCTGAACTCCGCCACTTCCGCTGCGAACTGGACTCTCTTCTTCCGCTGCTGCTGCTTCTTCGTTCTGTTTCCCGTCTTCCCTGCGTATAACGGCACAGTGTCAACTGGCTTAGAGAAACCAAAGCGGCAGAAGCAAACGGAGAAGGAGACGTGAAGGCTGACGGCGTACCGGAGGAGGAGATGCAGGACCGCAGGTGCTGCCAAGGGGGAGTCGAGTTCCTATCGGCGGCAGCGGCGCCGGCTCCAGCGGAGACGGAGAAGGGCTTCTGGCGGCAGAGGGCGATGAGGATGACGGTACCGGAGACGGCCACGGCCGTGGCCAGGGCCACCCCGTGAGAGGTCATGGGAGAAGACGAAGAAAGCACAAGGAGGAGAAGGACTTGGCTGCGTGGGAGACCGTGACATGTGAAGCTGGTGTCAAGACAGAGTGCTTTATACTCGGAGAAACGACAGGGTCTGATGCACAAGTGGGAAGACCAGAGAGAGAGGGAGAGCGTTGGCGGCTTCGGGAAAAGATGGCGACAACGCTGCCATTTCGTACTCTTCTTCTTATCCACTCAAATTTTGCAGGAGAGGCAAAAACTTCCCAGTAGTTGAGGACTTCAAGTCGGACACACTTCCGCAACTTCCTCCTCAATCAGTGATGTCATTATTCAACTTCATTGTTCACATCCAGGAGAACATTATGCTTTGAAGAGGAGGAATTGTCAACCCGTCAGGAACTAGCAATCATGGAGAGCACAAGAAACAAATGGGTAAGAAGATGGGGTTAATAATATATCATCTTTAGTGAGTTATCTTTAATATTTTATTTTTATATTTTAAAAAATTAACATGTAAATTTATTTATTCTGACATCAGTTTTATCAATAAAAATTAAAAAATAATTTTAATATTTCAGTTGATGGTGACGGACGACATCGATGGTGATAGACGACGATGTTGTTGGAGTCGCGAGTGGTTGTTGTGGATGAGGAGAGCGACGACGAGAGATGATAACCGTACTCCAATTACATCGACATCGACACAGTTGTTGAGCGGGTTTTTCAGCGTTCTGCATTTGCATTGACGTCGATGCAATTGTCAAGCAATAAAAGGATTGCTCGGCATCTGTATCAGCGTGAATGTAGATGCAAAACAATATCACTTGGTAACTATATCGATGTCGACGCATATGCAGAGTGGCGTCGCTTGGTAATTACGTCGGTACCGATGTAGTTGCTGAATGGCATCGTTTGCATCTACATCGACGTCGACACAGTTGTCGAATAGTATCGCTTTGTATCTGTATCAACGTCGATGTAGTTACCGAGCGACGAAATGATCGTCAATGTAAATATCGAGCGATGCTGATACAAATGTAGAGTGGCATCGCTATGCATATATGTCAATGCCGACGTAGTTATTGAAAGATATTTCTCCGCATTGCATCAGTGCTGGTATAATTGCCGAGGATAATCTATAATTAGTCCTAACAAGAGCAGGAGGCCTGAACTGGAGGATTCAATCAGAGGCCTAAAGTGGAGAAGTAAAAAAAGGAGAGAGTTAAGCTGACTAGTAACTCCGTGATCTCATAATACTCCAACTGTGTTTCTTGCTTGGCTGCTCTGTTTGAGATCAAATTTCTTGTCGCTTTTGCGTGATGAAGTGGCGTTTAGTCTCAAATGGCTCAGTCTTTCATCGACAGAGAGACGACAAGAGGGTGGAAGTTGCCGTTGGAGGGCGAGCAGTGGAAGCCTCCGATGAAACAGGGAAGAGCAAGAGAAAGAAAGACTTAATACGCGTGTCAGCTATAGTTTACCTGCAACAATCACCAAAGAACGTTAAGATTGTGGTGGTCATCGATCACAAGCTGATGGATCCTCGAAGCCTCGTAGCTTTCAGTCATCACTTACTGCTATACCCCGTGACCATGTGAATCCAGTCACCCTACTGAGCAGCCGGTAACTGCTTTATGTTTGTTTGTAGCTTGGCATAGCATTCCTACAGAGAACTGCCACTAATACCATTGCGCTGTAAATTTCAACCAGAACATATAATTTGGGCTTCACATTGGTCTTCATATGAAAAGTGTTGCTGAACATACACAAGGCAAAGAGAAACACTAATGATCGGTTATACCGTGAAACCGTGCCATTTATTCTATCAGCAAACAAGTAGTGATATTAAAACTCAAATAAATGGAGTACAGGAAGTGGTGTGCCAGCTTTAAGCGACCATGATGCGTCCATCACAACACTAGATTACAGGTAGAGTAATAAGCATATTGTGTGTCTAGCAAAAACCCAAATCTAACACAAGATTAGCTGGAAATTAAAGCAGCTCCAAGAAAGTGCATGCTATTATTTCTCTCACTCACCGCAACTGCTATTATTAAAGAAACGGCGAGCAGTTATGTTGTGAGGATGGGTGGAAGGTAGTCGGACTTAGCTCCGAGGACTCGGGCCTTGGTGTCGGGGAAGAACTCCGTGCCGGGCAACTCTGTGACTTCTCCTTCAGCGGAGACTCCGATAGGATAGCTAAGTAGATGTCCTGGGAGGTCATGTTCTAAATCGTCGCTCGAATATAGATCCCAGTACTTGTCGGCGATCCTGTTAACCTTCTGCACGCACTCCGAGCTCTCCGGCTGGAGGAAGGCATCATCAAGCATGCCAAGGTGTTCATACCAAAGGGCCAATCGAAAACCGTGGATTTGCCCCCGTGCTGGCTCCCTAGTTGACAAATGATACGGTTGGTATGCTCCCATGGCAATCTCAGAGTCCCTGCTTCCATCCATTGACCTCTGGTTGATGTTGGCTGACCCGATTATGATATACTCGTCATCAACTGAAATCAAAAGCTTGCAGTAATTAGGATTTTATCAACATCAACCCAAGTAGTCGCAGCTTTTGAAACCAGAACCAAGACAGATTGTCATTGGAAGACTTGCTTCTGAAACCCGGAAATGCCTAACTAGAAATATAACATGGCATAGGTTCAAGAGAATGAACAACTTATCTGAATTTAAAAAAAATCATTTTTTAGAAATGAAGTGATCTAGAATCAGTTGAAGTATTTCAAAGAGTGAACACAGCATTGCATGATGAATAAGTCGAAAATAACAAACCTGTGAACTTCTGCAACCCAGTTGCAACAGAGAACAAATTGTTAATTTCAAATCAGTTGCTAAAATTGTGTACATCTTTCAGCCTTCTTTATCATTAGTGGGGCACAGATAAAGTTGTATGTGATTTGCAGTTTATTAGGTGAGGTAAAAGCAAAAGATGACAGGGTTCAAGGAAGATTAGAACTAAGATACATTACATTGAACATCTGCAGGTAGGCACACCTAGTTTCCATTTGCAAGTAATAAATGATGATAATTCAGAGAACATGTTACTTCATGAAACCTCAATTTCTTTTGCAAAAATCAGACTGGGCTTGTAGAGAAATTCAATTGTTACAAAATGATATTCTTTTACTTGTTTCTGTTTGCAAGTAATGAATGAAGATAATTCAGAAAACATGCTAATTCATGAAACCTCACTTTGTTTTGCAAAATCAGACTGAGCTGGTAGAGAAATTCAATTGCTACAAAATGAAATCATTTTACTTGTTTCTGCTTGCAAGTAACAAGCGATGATAATTCAAAAAACATGCTGCTTCATGAAACCTCACTTTCTTAGTCTCAAAATTGAAGTTCACAGATTTTCCCGCCCATTTAGCTTATATTTTTATCATCTTACATATAATTAAGCAAGAGTCCTGAATTTTTTCGGTTAATGGGAAATAGATAAGACTGTGACACTTGAAGGCAAAAGGACCCGAAAAGCAGCATAGAGATGACTCTGGACAAAAGTACCTAGAGTATGTTATGCAAGAGTAACCTTTGAATACACAAGAGGAAGTATAGACGAGTGTTGAGAGAAGAATACCAATCATCATCTTTGTATGTACATAGATCATGAACCGCCTGGCCTCCTGAGCTTTGCTGTAGTTGGTGTCTTGTTCTGGCTGCTCCTCAGGTTCATATTCTCCACTCTTCTTTACCTCTCGATTCCCTAAACAGAAGAAAGTCAGATAGTCCTTTGGATTGGCTTCGATTCCTTTTGCCTGGAGAGCTTGTATGACATCAGTATACATCATCTCCATTGTCCTCCGCTGCCAATCTAAGATTGCTTGAACTGACGCACTTTCTGGCACACCCTCTGGCCACATTGGCACGACGACATAGACAGTAAAGCGCTCCCCAGCCTCAATCTTACTAACAATCTTCAAGGATAGCTCCTTAGGGATCAGATGCAATGCACCAATTTCCTCAGGCTTGATGTCATCAGCTTTCCATGCATAAGAGCTACCAAGGAAGTACTGATTTTCAATATAGATAAAGTTCTTTGCCCTACGGATGGCATTTATGTACGCATCTTGAATGCTTCTATCAATGATGTTATCCTTTCCACTAACAAGCCCAGCTCTAGCGGCATCCTCCGGGGTCTCAGGAAAGCCAAAAGCAGCACCTCCATCAATGGATCTGAAAAGCTGAACATTCCAAGTCTCTTTGTCCTCTAGGAACATGACAGGAGAAGGCGGAATGATGATGTCAGAGAGATCGCGGAGCTGTACAAGAACATCTTTTCCTCCCTGCTTTCTCCATCTCTGCTCAAAATTGAACAAAACATCCCAAGCAATAGGCCCTTCAAGCCGTGAATGAATATCATGCCAAGGCTCTCTTGGTCCACCCTTTGTTATGGAAGCCTCTCCAAAATTTGGCTGATGGAAGTCATCATGATGAGCTGTGTCCAATGTCCTGAACAGAGAATGAAACTGCGTGTCATATCTCCCATCGCAAAGGTCTAAGCCCCCAACAAAACTCACAATCCTCCGCCGCTGAGAAGCCTTGTTAGGCATCTCATGGTCGACAACAACAATCTTCTGATGATGAGTGAACATGGTGGCAATTTGAAGATCTTGAACAAAGCTTCCACCATCATCAGGATTTCGAGGGCACAAAACACAGTGCACATCTGTGTCATGAAAATAATTTTCAGTCTCCTCATCATGGGTTGCCATCAGACCATCTTTCTTCAGCAAACCTACCGAGGTTCTGTCATCCCAAACAAGCATAAGCACTCGAACACCTTCACTAGCCTTCCTCTTAAGGAGCTCTCCCAGTGTGACATCACCACCTGGTTTTGGCCTCTTGTTGTCTCTAAGTAATGTAATCTCTGTGTACACAGACCACCCAGTAATGTATATCAGATGTTGTGCATTACTAATTGCATCAAAAATGTCCTCCCAGCACCTATGGGGCTCATAATATTTCCCATCAGCAAGAGGAATTCGAGGAATGAAGTCGTCAGGGACATGCGCATCTTGGTAGAGTGTTACTTTACAACCCTGTCTCTGAGAGAAAAATGTATAAGGGACTCCAGGATATTTTGTACTTCGTACACCCCTCGCCCAGTTACGGTCTTTTAAAACATCAAAGTATTGCAGCTTGACATGGATCTTAGCATCTCCAACAGGATTCCGGTCTTCGTCACATATTTCAAGCCATCTATCCACTTCATCACCATCAAGGATCTCCATGACAGGCAGATAAGCTCTTCCAATCAGTGTTGCCCCGATAGGATTGTCAAATTTAATAGTGAAGATGACATTCGCTGCCATATGGGCACAGTATATGTGAAAAGACTCGTACCAACGTGGATTGACCGGTTCATCCGAAAGCATTCTGGTCCGACCAACTCGAGCCTTCTCCAAATCAATAGTGGCATAATGTTTGGTGGTGCCCTTCCCAAGACCAATGGTATCTTCAATACCTTCAACAACCTGTTAGAAGAATTTCAAGTCGAAGACAAGAATTAGAAGAAAAAAAGAAATATTTAGATTAATAGGCAAATCAACAAATTTATCCCTCATTGATTATTTGTAATAGCTAATCAAAATAAGCAGTGGATGGAATAATTTTCAGCAACCAAGAGAAAACACAACTAAAGGGGAAGAAAATAGGTAGTTTTAGGTATTATATAAAATGAGCATTTACGAGTCTGACAAGGCATTATTAATAGACCATACAGCTATGTATCTCTTAGTATAACATTTTATTTTATAGTTCTTTTCAACATATCAGAATGGTACAAATCAGTACACAGCTCAGCATTTTTGGCATCAACCTGATCTGCTAAATTGACGAGACCAATATCATATTGGAATTTAAAACCTTTGGTTTTAGGTATCATGAATTAATTTAAACACTCGAAGTTGAAAGGCTTGAATGAAGAATGTGTCTCTAAAACCTCTGCAGAGAAAATGAATGTCAAAGTTTCTTAAAATAATAAACTACTTGATAGAAGCTGCAAAGACTTGAACAAAGAATGTGTCTCTAAAACCTCTGCAGAGAAAACGAATGTCAAAGTTTCTTAAAATAATAAACTACTTGATAGAAGCATACAGAGCTGCAGGCCCAAGAGGAAAACTTGTCCTAGCATCCATAATGATTGCAGGAATTGTCATTTTGAAAGCACGAGTGTGTTCAATGCATGAAAAATTTTCCTTGTTGATCTTTTGACTCATTTGATGAAAGAGACTTACAAGAAAATAGCACAACTGATAACAAACTACTTCGATGAGAATGAGCTTCTGACTTCCTTTAAGCAGAGGATACTAATTTACTTAAAGTGGAAATCAATGCTGAGAACAACTCTTAATGATTATTTGTTAATTCAAGTAAACTCCAGGTGCAAGTATAATTGTTTGATTTTTCCATTCAGCATACCTCCAAACATGTGTTTACTAGCAGAGCTCTGTTATGCTTTAAAAGTAGTATGACTATCACTACCACCTTTTTGAGGAGACAAAAACAGATACTAGGAAAATAAAAGATGTAAAATGACAATTCTCACATTGAATAACTTTAAATAACAAAGAAAATCATCATTCTGTATACAGTTTATGGACCCTTAAATATGTCAGATAATATGCAGCAAGTAAGAAAGCAAGCAAGCAAACAAGCAGAAGCTTATGATTTGTCAGTTCCACCGGTTGCTTTCTCCCAGTTCGCCCTTTCATAATGTGTCCAACACCCGAGGAGTGGCTAAACATGACATACAGAGGCCAAATCCAAAATTACAAATGCCATGTAAAATTCTTGCACTCAAGTTTCTTGGCAAAAGATAACTCCCCTAAATAGCCTCGAACACATTATACAAGCATCAATAGCACTTCCAAAGGAAGCTTCGAATAATCACCAAAACCTAAGAAATCATATCTGTTTCTCTCGTCTTCAAATAGGTTTTACCAGTTTTTCCATAAATTAGTTTATTTTTTTGGTGAACATGTAATACAACACATACAATCGTTTCCCTTGGCACTAGTAAAAAGGAAAAACAAAAAGAATTGTAACATTGGAATCTAATTGCTGCAAAACTCTACAATCAGCAGCAATTGCAAGACGATATCTGCAAGACAAAATAACAATCTTGAACAGAGATCTCACATAAGAGTGCAGAAACCTACTAGCAGGGCAGGGCAAGTAAAACATCATGAGAACAAGATGACGCACAAAAGAATAAGCGCTCATCACAACACGAGGACTTACCATTCGGAGGAAACCGCCTGAACCTCTCTGCGGATTCGTGAGCGATTCCGCATCAAAAATCGTAGCATGGAGCGTTCCGTGTAACAAAATCTGGGCCATCCTTACCTGCTTATCCAAAAAATCCCCCATATATTAAAAAAAGGGGGAAAAATGTCAGAGCAAGAAAATCCAAACTCCAATCCGAGCCGATGGAGATGGCAGAATTGAAAGTAAAAGATGTCACCTTCAAGAATGGAACCACCTACGACCAAATCTGCTGACAATCCCTTATTCCAGACGCGCTGTTCCCTAACAAAAAAAGGGAACCAAATCAGTGGCCGATCCGAAGTCATCGTACGAGTACGAGATCAAGTGCAAAATCATCATGGGTTTGTTTCCTCCAGTATCCGATTCCAACTAAAGAATCGAAGAAAAGACAAAGGCCGAGAGTCCTCGGAGTCCATGCGAATTCGCACTTCCTCACAGATTCATGATAACGTGGAAGGATCAAGACCAGAAAAAGATGCTTAAAGCAATCATGATGATGATTCCACCGCACTTACCCGAGGAAGGATCGGCGCTGGGATCCGGCGGAGCGAGTGGTCGATCGGAGGCGGAGAGGAGGAGAGAAATGGAGAAAGAGGGATCGCAGTCTCGGCTGACTGGGCACTGGGACAAGGTGTAATATATAGAAAGAAAGCGAGTAGTAGATCCGGAAGAAGCGCGAGGAGAGGAGGGAGCTAAAGAGCCCGTGGGAAGAGGCAACTATGAAATTTAATGGTGAGAAACCATGAGCATTTTTTCATATATGTCCCTGCCGCACACACAAATATCATGTTCACCCCTCTCAACCATAAAAGACCACCCAATTAACCCTGGGGACATTAAAATGTACGATCCAACAATAACTCGATTTTATCTTCCAAATCCTATTCATCTTCCTAAGTCCAATTATTTCCATCAAGAATCCATACCATTATACGAAGATCGGATATCCAGCAATTTAGACGCCAAAAGAAATCATAAACAGCCTGTTTGCACAACATGTGACAGGAAAACAAAAAAAATAAAAATAAAAAGTGTGGATCACATAATGGACGGTTAGGAAGTTAGGATCAAAAGGTCCACCGCACGAACAGGCGGTTGCCCGATTTGACCCCAAGTTTTCAACCATCGCAACTTCTAGATTAAACAAAATTATTGGAGATTTTGATCCCTGCCATTTGGGATCAAAATTACCATTGGTAGAATGTAAGTTAGATTCTTTCTCGAATATATAAATAGAAAGGTTGGAATGAGACGCGTTGAGGTGAGCGGGAGATGCATGGCATCAGCCCAAAATATAACACCGTGTGGGTGGAGAGGAAAATTGCCGGGGGGAGAAGAAAGGTCTCACATGGCCACAGGCATTCGCAAACGCATGAATGACGGCAGAAGTAACGACCCATAGTATCGTTTACCTCGTGACCTGTTGCGTTTCCTGGCGGTCTAGTCTTCGGCGCTGCTGGATTAGATCACATCTCGACCCTTCGTTCATCGGGTCCCGATATCGCAGCCGTCGATAGATGGGAGATGATGACTGACGACGGGTTGGGCCTGCCATTATAAGTGGAATCACAGTAATTAGATAATGTCGCACGACCATACAAGGCAAAAAAGCACGGCTTTAGAAACATTAGCATGCTAATTATATATTAGAAAGGATGGCTTTGTTCATGTGCCATTGTCTCCTACCTCCTCTATCGGTGGTCCACGGAAGAAAGGATGCACTGATGTGACTTATTTACTCAGCAAATGTCATAAGAGGATGCACTGATGTGACTTATTTACTCAGCAAATGTCATAAGATTCTGCCCAACCATGGGAGAGAACGTGGGAGACTATCAACCTTTGGTCTCTTTCAAGTGGGGATAACCAATTAAATGAAATCACAAAGACAAGATACACACTCTACACTAATTCTTCAGTTGGTGATTGGTTAGGCATTGGAACCAAAGCATACTGGAAGTAGAACTAGAAACTAAAAACCTTGAAATATTTGGTTCGCATACTCTTCGAATCAAAATGAACAAGCCATTTTACACGCTTGATTCTTTTATTATACTACTTGTATCAAAATCACGTATTTAAAATTTATATTTTCCTATATCTATATTGTTTGATATACACATTAGTTAGAAGACTGAGGTTTTTAAAGTGATCATATATCTAAAAAATTTAATCGAGTCTTGAAGAAAGTTGGGAATGAGATCTTATTGGAATAAGAATGAGATTATATTATCAGGAGTATATGTAGAGGATCTTAATATTTGGATGGACCAATGTACTATAACAAAACTTAATTATCAAATCAAATAACTATTAATTCACTGTCGCATTCTGTAATCACTTACTTCTAAATTAAGCACCGCGTAAGGGCCCCACTATTTAAGGCAATTAGTATGGGAATATGAAGACGGCGGCACAAAACACCGATTTCACCCAACAATATATAATTTGGGACCACCTCCCTGCAACCGCGGTATCGTTCCCTAGAGTTTCCTAACAAAAGAAAACCAAGGATATGTACAAAGATGAAGGTCAATGTTGAACCCGCCCACGCCCACCGGAAGATGAATCCAAGCAAGCAGTCGGCAGCCTACCCATTCCATGGCTGGAAGTTTACCACCACTTGCTTGCTCTTCGAGAATAGATGATACCATATATTTATCAAAGTTAGAGCCAACAAAGAGTTCAATGGACCTACTGCAGAGGAGACGCAGCGGCGCACTTCAAGATGTAGTCACATGTTGCTCTCTTGGTGGATGGAGATGGCCCATCAAGATCATCAAAGCAGTCAGGGCCAGTGACTGACTGAAAGAAAGGTTCCTCCTCTCACGCTGGGAGGGCATTCTTGTGGATCCAAAATATCCTTAGTTGAGGCACACCCTAACTCATCTAACTGTCTGATGAAAAGACCATTGCCCTAAAGAGTTGCCGTCGAGGGTGAAGGAACACGGAATGCTCACCAAGGTAACGAAGACGCCGAGGGGCTTAACGCGGTAAGTAGCAGGGATCTGATGTACGTGTGGGTTCTGATATGTTGCCCAATTCAGCGGAGACGAATCAACTCCAGCCGTGCAGTTATTACGCCGTATCCAACTATCATGATCTGTACCTTTCAGATAGACAGCGAGGCCTCTTTGACACACCACCACCAACACCATCACTTTTAAAAAAGCACCCCTCAACTCAATTATGATAGGAAACTTGCCGACACACCAACAGTTGCTATATCGAGGATTTGTGGGGATTATTGGTGAAAATTTTGTGTGTGACCACATAACTACATAAATTATGGGGTCGAATGCGATTTGTGATTCGCGATCTACTGCCAACACAGCTTGATGATTAATGCAGGCATACACGAATTCTAAACTAAATAGACCGTCTTGGATAAGGAATTGCTACTTCTTCTATTGCTACTGACATGAAAAGCCACTACGGCTCCATAATGTTGTCGTTGACTTTGTGCCAAAGTTCTGACAAATGTCACCTAAAGGATGCAAGTAGGCACATCAATTGTGTTGGGATGCACGTTGGCACACGTCTTGCATGTGACACGAGAGAAACTTGCTCAAGGGATCTCCTTGAGATCCATAATGAACGGAATCTTAGTTCATCCTCTTCACTTGTAAATGGCGAGAAAGCCGTGGTGGCGAACTAATTTACATGAATTAGCTCAATGTTTCCGCTATGGAACTTCTTTTGGAGCCCGAGGAGGCTTCAGCACATAGTTTACGCGTGTCTGATGTTGGACTTGATCTACTCATTATCATTTAAATGTTAAAATGATACTGACATTCTTTTTTACTAGTATCTACTCGACCAACTTAATTACCAATGCCCTTTGATCAAATCTAAAACAGATTCAGATAAAATAACTCAGCATCTGAATCAAATCCGAATTCATGAGTATTCAACCTGTTGTCATTCCTAGCGTTGGCCTCGTGTCACAGGTAGGAAATATATATTTTTAATTTTCCTTTTTACTTGAAATTTTTCTAGAAAACAACTATCAGACTCGATGCATACATGTCTCTCAGGAATAGTGAGCAACAAAATAAACAGCACTTTCAGAGATTGACAACATAATCGACTGGATTGGTCTGGTCAATCTTTGATTCATAAAAAAAAAAAAAATCACATTATTTTGCATAAAGTTCCTAATTGGTTGGTACGACACAAGGGAGGTCAAGACTGAGATAAGCGAACCCACCATGAAGTTTAGTAGGCCAATCAATTTGATCCAGCAAGTCCACTGGGCTCGACATAAAGTCCATGCCCAATTAATCTGCAGGTTCCAAGAGTCTCGACCACCATTTAAGCTAACATAAGAGTCTAACCCAAACGTCGCCTAAATAGTGAAAGATGGATACTTGCTAAGAGATGATCAGAGGCAAGAAAAGGTTATTAAGTTTATAAGGTCAGGAAATTAAGCCTAAATCAAGGTCTTTAGCATCCATATGTAGTTTACCTGAGGTTGCTAAATGCCTCAGAAACTCATAATTTTTTCTGAATACTTCCTACATCTACGTTCTTTCCTGTATGTAAATATCAGTTCCTAGTAATCTGATGATTCTACAACTGCTGACATGCAAAGAAGCAATGGCTATATAACTCAACAATTTAGAATGTTAGTCCAATACCAATGATTCTATAAGTCCAGAAATGGGCCCAGATTTTAGGATACCTGAGTTCCAGGTGGTTGTAATTGATATTCCCAGTAGTGGTTAAGACTTTAGAATTAAAGGCTTGTATCAATGAAACTAGACACAATTCAATGCAATAAAAAAATGCTCAGCTTACCACCATTTATGCCTGAAAGTCACTGATATAACATCCTGCCTGCTAAACAGGCACTTCACATTATCAAAGATATAAAATACTGCAAATATGAAGCTATAATCCTTCTCTATGTGAAAAATACATGAAAGCATTCTTCCTCTTCCCATTGTTGATGCAATGTCAGATAAATGCTTAAGACTAATACGTAAATTTGCAGAAATCATCAACATATTCAATAAGCAATGCAACAAAACAAATTGCAACCTCCCAAGAGTATTTGTGTACTCAAGTAGGAAAAAGATTTAATTCTACGAATCAATTTCTTGATGAAAGTTCGATTACCTTTTAACCAGTGATCTACTAATCGTTCCCTTCCCTCTTGCTCGTACTTCTTCAACATTCTTTACTGGATTTCCTGATTTACTGACTCAATATTTTCACCATTTTTATTGTTGTTTACTGATAAAACAACCAACGTTGCCTTTTTGTTTTGAGCTTTTAAATATTTCATGAATACAATAATTTTACCTAATCAGCCAGTGGCAATATGCAAATCTGTTGATCCCCTTTGTATCATCTATGTTCCTCTAACCTAGTTGTCCTCTCACAGTTCTCTTCTGCTATCGACCATGACAGCACTAGGTCTGCTTTACTGCGAACATGTTGTCTCCGTCCTTTCATAATGATGCCTTTTGTTTTCATTCTTGGTTTATGTGTGTGTTCCTTTTGCCGTTCCCGAAGCCAGATACAGCGGATTCACACATCGGTTCCTAATACCCATCTCAAGAATTGACCAAATCCAGGAACAAAAGCACCGAGTTCAATGAAGCAAGCAAGAAATTACGTACCGAAGTGTCATATCACGCGACAAGACACCGAACTCGATGGCAACTCCGCCCTCATGATTCTCTGAAGCCATCTCGAAGCCTGCAGCAACATCAAATCTGCACATCCGACTCTAGTAAGTGTAACCCTCATCATCGATCGACTACTCCCAACGTCACCAATCAACCATACCTGCGCTTGCATCCGCATCACCACCACCATCACTGCCGCCTGCCCTCGAGCCAATCCGAGCATCGCGTCTTCGGCAGTGAAACAGAGCGGAGAAAGAGGAGGAGGAGAAGGTGGGAAGGGTAGGGCGAAGGGCGGGAGCGGAGCCAAACGAGATTGGTGGGTATTTGAGAACCGCCCAAGTCTCCTGTGGAAGATTCCAGATGCGTATATATAAACGACTGAGCCCACGAGAAGACGATGCTTTCGGGCCTCAATTGGGCTAAATCTGTCGCGTTAGATCAAATTCATGTAAAAATATCAATAATTTTCTAAGAAAAAAATCTGATTTTTTTATACTGCCATTATGGTTATGAAGTGGTAAATGTCCGCATGTATCTTAGTCTCCTTTCCGTGGCTCCTCCATTAATTGAGATCCACTGCTACTGTGTATGACTGCCAGGCATGTAACATTTGGTCCACTGGCTTCTTTCCTATCAGTTTCTGTGCATGCATGTGGTTTATCCATGTAGCTTTTAGTGTGAGAGACACGTAAAAGGTATATCATTTACTTACAGGTTGTTTCCGTCGATGAATTCCATACATGACTCATGGCATATCATTTAATCGTCAACAGTTAAGTACTCGGGTGCTCGAGAAAAGTCTTCGTTCTCACAGGTCTCATGGTGGTCCAGTTCATGACTGCTGGGAGCACCAACAGCGGTGTTAGGCAGCCATCCTCTCGGAGACCAACAGTTTGAGTTCCCAGATCAACAAGGTGCGTGTGCAGCAAAGTAGTTGATGCCTGGATGCACTGATCATGTTAAGCCCTTTCATCGTTGATGGTCGAATTGGATAACACACCAGAAGGCAGAGATTGAATGCAGATGCACAAACTTCCAAAACCCGGGAATTGGATTTCTGAGTGGGTAGATTGGAGTTACTGGTGCTGAACAGTACAAGAACAATAACGTAAGAGTAAGAAACTAGTGATATAAGTGAAGCTATAATTCAACAAGACAATTAATTGATCGAACATGATATGACTCACGAGGAAAAGTTATATTTGGATCAGCAACGAAGAGATCAACCCTGGGGAAGCAAGCTTTTTACAAGGTAGGGTGCGTAGGCCATGTTATCATCATCAACCAGATTAGCTACTGGCCTCGTCATGATCAGCTCAGGAAGACAACACACCCACACACAGGCAAGAAGAATTAAATGAGTTATTGATGAGTGTAGGTGGAGGAGTTTATTACCAGTGTACTGTGGGTGGTTACGGGCCGATGGCCACGTTTCACCGACAGCTCCTCCGCCATCCTTTCTCTCCCTTCTCCACCCTCCCCAACTTAACTCTGGTACGCCACTCTCTCTATATATTTACCTGTCCATTCTAGTTCGAAGCCTGCACCTTCTGTACTTTGTCGTCAGTGAAACTGAGACGCATCTTTAATCCACTGCTCTCATCCTCTCTCTCTCTCTCTCTCTCTTCCTGCATTCTCTGTCCGGCTGCCAGAGTTGATACTTAACAACGATATGGTACAGTCGAAGAAGTTCCGAGGTGTCAGGCAGCGCCACTGGGGTTCCTGGGTGTCTGAGATTAGACATCCTCTCCTGTAAGTAGTACTCTGAGCTCTGCACGCTGTCTGCATGCATGTCAGTGGCGAACTTATTGAATGCTCGCCATTGTTTCCCTTTCTATCATTTGTAATAACAGTGGGATTGCATGTGTTGCGGTCAAGACGACAATGTAGGCATCGTCTTCCTTCTTTCTTACTGTGGTTGTGCGTATGATGGTGTACAGTAAGCGAAGGGTGTGGCTCGGCACCTTCGAGACGGCGGAGGAGGCCGCTCGGGCCTACGACGAGGCCGCGGTGCTCATGAGCGGGCGCAACGCCAAGACTAACTTCCCCATGACCCGGAGCCCCGAGGGGGACGCCGCCGCCCGCGCGTCCTCCAAGGCCCTGTCGGAGGTCCTGAGCGCCAAGCTTCGGAAGTGCTGCAAGACCGCCCCCTCCCCCTCCCTCACCTGCCTCCGGCTGGACAACGAGAAGTCCCACATCGGAGTGTGGCAGAAGCGCGCCGGCACCCGCGACGGCTCCAACTGGGTCATGACCGTGGAGCTCGGCAATGCGAGCAGCCACCATGCCCAGCAAGCGGCCGGGGAAGCCATGATGGGGCCGACGCCGCTCGCCGGGGCAGGGACATCGTCGCAGGAGGCGGTCGGAGGGATGGACGAAGAAGAGATGCTGGCACTGCAGATGATAGAAGAACTCCTCAGCAGGAACCGCACAACCTCTCCCTCACATGCAGTGACCGCAGATGAAGACAGCTTCTTCCTCTAGCCACCATGGCAGAGAAGGATAATTCAGTAGGTCGATACTGTTTGCTTGGCTGCTGTGCTTGGATTGCTATTACAAGTGCCGATCCACCTTGTCATCAGTCTCCCTCAACACGTAAAAGATGAATGGTGAAAAGGATTGCTGGCTGCACCATTATGAGCGCTTATTAAGCTTTTATATGTGTTTGTTTCCTAATCTGAATGCATACAATTGTGTCATGCTATTTGAAAGCGATGCAGGTCGAGTAAGAAAGTTGTAATATCAGCCAACTTTCCGTTAATAGATATAACAAAGCTCAAATGGTTGCTTTCTTGTGCTGTGTTTGGAGAATACTCTGCAAACAAACATAGAACCTTTTGTGACAGCTGCATCTATCCATCTACTGTCATGGCTGCATGGAGGAAGATATCAAGATAAGAGAGGCATTTATGACAGCTTGCTGCATGCTTGCATTGCAGGGACCCAAGAAAGGAGGAGGTTCCCCTTCCAAGTCTTGGTGTGCTTGTATTATGCAATGAAAAGATAGTGAACACTCAGACATAAGACTAAGGTTAAAGTGTGGACTATTGAAGCTTTATATTAAGGAAAAGCTGTCATGAGGCTGGAATCAACAAGATTCTTTTGATGACAATAAGATAAATTGGGTATCTATACAGTCATAATTTACAAGCATCAGTAGACTTGCAACACAAATATATTATGATAGGTTTACTCCCTGAAACTAAATAGTAACTCAGACATGAACCGCATCATTTCCTTGTGGGGAAGTTATTACACATCAAATGACTCCAGCAAACACTAAACATTTTCATGCATGCAAATCTCTCTCATAGACTACTCTTTTGATTCTCTCACTGTTTCTTACTATCTTTTTTGCCTCATTTCAGTGCTCACGATGAAGGTAAAAAGAAAATGCCATTGTTAGGAGTCTTGGTACAGTAGTAGAGCCAAGTTATTTTGATTGTTATACATGCTCACCTGCAGTTCATTCCATCATTTTTTGCCAACATTTATTAGTCACTATTTCATGCAAGGGTCACATCGACCTGATGAGTTGATCACGACAGCAAAAACAATCTTAATCATATATTTCCTTAATTCTGGTCCACAAATGCACAATTTAATGACTAGCAAAAACATCTGATATCTTCTGCCAAATAAACTGATCAAACATGAATTCTATAATTAAGATACTCACTTGCTTTGCTTGTGGTTATTCTTTTGGCATGAATAAGCTGATGTGAAGCCCCAGGAGATGAAATGTAAGAGACAGCTAAAAGATAAGCAGTTTAGATCACAGAAAAGTCAAGATATGTGTAATGAGAAAAGAAGGATGTAGTGGAAGGTCCCCTACTCCAAGTACATCAATAAAAGCTGGGGTGGATGAGATGATGACAATGGGGACTCCACAGGCAGCTGAGCTCAGTAAATGTGCCACATTATTGAGGAACTAATTAAAAGTGTATCACCTCCCATCTAAAGTAATGCCCTATGCTAAGATGTTTTGAGGCTTCGTGAGTGTATGGAGTTGCTTGCAATCATACATGTATACATACTTGGAAAGTTTAGGTTAACAAAAATAGGCATCAGAGGCACCGGAGGAAAGCACCACCAAGTAGAATTTTGAGTTATTGCATGGCTTTAATAGTCCAAAGAGATGTTAGTTGCATATGATTTGTGCATTGCATGCTTCTCTTGAACAATATGATTTACTTGTCAAAGAAAATGTGCAACAATATGCGCCCCTCAGAAGTTTCTTTGTATTTCCTCTTTTTGTATCAATGATAAATGGTAAAGATGACATTTTAATCTCAAAATTTTACTATCAGGAGTCAAAATCTTCATTAATTTAGTCTGTCACCACACACCAAGTAAAATTATAGTTTCTTTCTATATCTTCCATTATATATATAATATCAAATTGATTGTTCATGTTGGTAGTTAGATTTAATATTGAGCCCATTATGATGGTCCATATTGATGTTTTTGTCTATCAATTATTTGATGGAGGCCTCTCTCTTTGCCCACATAACATTGATAGTGGGCCATTTGATAGGTAATTCAAACAAAACAAAAAACAAACTTTTCCTAAGATTTTAGGATGATTTGATAAGTTTTTACGTTAACTAGCACAAATTCATATATGCTCCTTATCCATTATTTATTATTATTCTTTGAAAAATCATACTAATATCTACACTTGTTCATAAGAATATGGAGAGGGATACCAAATCTTGTAATGACATTTGTAGATCTAAATAGAGTGTATGAGGGGTGAAGCTTCAAATCAAGTTTAAGATGGATAGTATATGTTCATGTTGCATGAACTAAACACTTAACTAACAAATAATCAAAACTTGTAGGTGTTTTTCTTTCGATTATAAGAAAAAAATAATTTTCAAGATGATTGTCAGACCCCGTTATACATTATGAATTAAAACATTAGATGGTTATTAAATATCATATTATTTGTATACTTTTATATTGTATTTATGTCATTTTGTATTTAGGTTATCTATTTAGCATTTTATATGATGTTTTGGATATAGTTTGTGATTGAGACAGCCTTCTGACTTGATCAAAGTTGAATGTTTGATTATAAGAAAGAGAAAGAATGCTTGTTTTTCAATGAATACAACATGCCATGACATCATCGGATAGGAATGGAGTGGGAGAATGAAGCATCCATGGATGGAATATGCTCCAAATATTTAATTCTAATTTGGCTTTTCCTTCTCCTCTCGAATAGCACAAGTGACATCCATCAATTATTTTTGTATCCATCTCTTGACTAATAAAAGACATCCTGCTGTTCTTATCCATACCATTGCTGTCGACTCTCT